GCGTTCAAGAAATTGAAGGCAAATTTTTGAAATGTGATTATCTCGAAAAATAGGCGAAGTTCAATGCTGTACTAGAACTTATACAAAACAATCTGCTTGATACACTCATGAGTGAGTAGTGTATGATGAAAAGTATGATCGGCTTGAAAAGCTTTTTGAAAAAAAAAAAATCGATATTTAACAAAATTTAAACAAACCGTATACAGTCAAACCTCGTTTTCAACGAATCTGTGGGGACACATAAGAAAATTACATCTAAAATTTATTACTATTATACCAAAATTACATATCGCGTTTCAGCGAATGGTTTTACATGCGAAGCAAAGATTTTGAAAAATTCGTTTGAAACATTTAATTATAACTCGTTGAAACGAGATTTGACCGTATAATATATATATATATCTATATGAGTTCTCAAAGTTATTTTCTTAAACCATTTCTAAACTAATTTCCAATTGGTTTTTATTACTATTACTATTACTATTAGTAATTTTACGAATAATAAATTTGAGACATTACCTATATTTAACAATATTTAACAATAAAGAATATCATTAAAACTTGTGGTTTATACTAAAAATTCACATACTGTTGAATTTTTGGCGAATGAAATCGAGCACATATTATCTATGAATAACATAGAAAAATTTACTGATCTTGTTACTGATGGTGCTGGAAACGTCAAAGTAGCAAGACAAATGATTAATCAAAAACATCCAAATATATTAAATTTAAAGATGCATTCCATAAATCTAATGACCAAATATATTATAAACTAAATGGGATATGATGTTCTTCATAACTGTTCAAAAATTATTTCATTTTTTAAGTATTGAATGAAGCAATAAAAAAATTTGAGATGTGGGAATTAAAGCATACATAAAAACACATTGGTCCTCGGCTTGGGATTGTTTATATTCTGTTAAACGATTGGAGGGTTGCTTTGTCTGGATAAAACTTTGACATTATACTACATTAAAATCACTCTTTTTTTCATGGATTATTTAGACGACCCTTCTATCATTACTAATAGAGAATAGTACGAATTAGAAATTTTTTGCTGATGTAAAAATTTTATAAGATATTCTGAAACTCGTCGTAGAGTGTCGTATTGATGCCACATTCAAAATAGAGGTTGGCACCGCGCAAAAATTCTTTAACCGGTTAATTTAGTCACGTGGAATTTTTTAACTGGTAAATTCGATCATTCATTACTTACAAAATAATCACGCATCTGTCGAATTTTATTATTATACACTTAATAGATGCTAAATGATTACAGTAACACCTCGCCACAGCGGATTCATGGTTCCGGCCAAAAAAATCCGTTATTAACACTCATAAAAATTTGCTCAAAACCCGTAACACTGCTTTTTTCCTTACTTGGGATAGATTGTATGATTTTGGTTTTGATCTACCATTTTTTTTTGTTTGCCTATTGATGCAATTTTTAATAAAATAGATAATTTCATGCTGCCCCTAAAAAAAATGTAAAAAAGGGTGCATTGATTTTGCTTTTTTACGTTGCATTCGAATTTGAGGGTTGAAGTACATAGTGCTGAAATGGTCTTCTATACATGATTCAGCTTTACACGTTACATTTGAAATGCGAGGTGTCTATATATATATTCGTTCGGAGTATCAACATTAGCCAGTCATATTTTTTTTTCGTTGCGTTGAGCAAAAAATTTATTTATTAAAAAATTACATCATATACAAAGGGAAATTGTTTACGGGCTTAATAAATTTAACAAAAGATCCTTCGCAAAGAAGAACCCTCATCCGAATTAAAAGTTATTTACGAATTTCGATTGTTAAAAAAATCAACCAAGATTTTTTTTTCCTAATTAAAAAAAGAGATATTTTTATCCTGATCTTTTCCTTGTGGATCAATTAAATTAAGTCTATCGCTGTAGAAGGAATTTGCATGATACGGCGATATAAAAATAACCACAATCACGTATCGTTTTTGGTAAACGAAAATATTTTTGTTCAAATTTCAATTTGCAAGTCAGTGCATTCAAATTGTTAAAATATAAATATTACTATTACTCTCAAAAATTCATTTAGAAAGGAACCGTACGTAACACAGCAACTTTTCTTTTATGCATGTAACCACCCACATTCATTAAAAACAAAAGTCGAATTTTATATTTTATATTTTTATATATATTATTATTATTATTATTAGTATTAGGGTGTATTCGAAATGTTTGAACGAAATTATTATCGAAACAAACCTATTTCGTCATCATGTGTGCTTTTTAGTCGACATGAAAATTAAGTTCATTCGTTATATATAATAGACAAGATTTTGTTCCCAGCTTGCCTGCCTTAACTGAGAAATTATGAAATAAATAAAATTAATAATATTTTCGTTTTGTAGATTATCACCTTGTAACGCCTTGTGTTATAAATAATTATTCACGGTACCCACAGCCACATAAGAATCTTGCTATTACTATAGTCCATTTTGTGACAAGGTTTGGATTTCTATTATGAGTACAAACTCCAGATTGACTGAAAGTTATATTAATACAGAAAATTATCAAACAACTTACTCCTTGATTATGAATACAACGAGACTTTAAATTGTGATCTAATAATAAATTATAAATGAAAATAAAATAGTCTAACAAAAGAACTTCATGCATTATTCAAAAAGGTTAATATCAAAGAAAATTAATGGTCATGTAAAAATTTTTCCGTTGTGCGATAAACATCTATAACCAAAACAACCTACCAATAAAGTATATAGGAAAGTTAATGTGAAGTTAATATTAATAGCAGTGACAAAATGATCATTTTGTTGAGTTCTACCCTGTATAAAAAATATTACGCATAAAAAATTTGCTAATGTAACTAATTTCCAGTTTCCATGTTTTTCATATTGTACTTGTATTATTCACAACAAATAACATCTTCATTTTGATATTATTACTATAGTTGTTGTAAAATTTTCATTTGACGGTTATGGGAAGGAGTTTTGTATTTATGAGTATCCTTATAAAAGGCAAAAATAATAACCCTTGTTTCAAATCGGAAATAGCAAAAGCAGCAGGTTTTATTTACAATACAATACAGAATGTTGGTGAATAATGCAAAGAAACTGGCTAAACTTGCGGATAGACTTAATCTGCACGAAAAAACTCATATTGCTTATGAGGAGCTTCTTAAACATTAGGCGTAGAATTGATAAGGATCGCTTTAAAGTTCAAAATATAATCCTTTAAAAACAACGGCTAAATGCACCCAGATAAGTTTTTCTAGTAATTTCTCGTTTTCCTTCTTTTATTCTGTTCTAGCATTCATAAAGGATAACCCAATACAATATGATCTCGACAGCGCTCGAAGTAATTTAATGTTAGAAGGATCATTTAATGACGTAATGAATTTAATTTTTTAATTAATCAACAATTCTCTTTATCGGTAGTGATTTGGGTCATTCGTTATGCGAACTATTTCATTCTAACTTTTAATTTTTCAGAACTCGCCTAATGCATGAAAAAAGTTTGCAGGTAGATATTTTTCTTGGCAAATTCAAAAAAAAATTTTTTTTTTTAATATTTCATAGAAAGTTGTCATTTTAATACATTTATAACTGTGTCAACTATCAGCATCCACAAAACCAACATCCACAATATCAACCTCAACAGTATCAACCTTGACAACATCAACCTCAACAAAACCTAGATCGATAAGATCAACCTCAAACAAATATCCCGATCAACAATATTCCCTTCAACAATATTCATCCCAACAATCTCCATTTCAACAACAAATTACCTTCGGAAATCCACAACCCAAACCACGACGATCCATTCAACTTTTTTTAATACTGATTTCATTAATATCAGAACCAATTGCACAACCTGATATTTTTCCATTTATTTTATTATTAAGAATATATTTAACCTTTTTTTTTGTAAATAAAAATACATATCTATAATCTTTAAGTATATTAGAACAAAGTATAGCAATAGTACAATTTCTATGGTATTCCACTAGCCAAATTGGAAACTATACACACAGTGAATCTCGATTTTTAGTGCCCAAGAAATTTATCCGCTAAATCAAAATATTAATATCCGTAAAAACAAGAAATATGGAATTAGCGGATTTTATTATTATTATAAACGTGATACCCGTTATATAAAAATCGTATATATTAATAACAAATAAATTTAACAATTCCAAAACTTGATTGTTGCCTGTAAAATGAAGAAAAGAAACATATAACCATATTTGGTTATATATGTAAGAACCAAAAAGAAATGATGCAAAGAATAATTAAAGAAACTCACGAGCATTTCAATAAAAGATAAACAAATGACAAATTGAAAATAAAATAAAATAACATTTATTGACCTAGGAATATCACAAATTTTAAGGAATACATAATAGAAATCACAAAAAATCATAGAAAGGCAATCAATATACAAAGAAATTTGGAATGATTGGATACTTTATAAAATATGGCAGCAGTTGGAAAGATTTTTGCGCAGGTGGAGGTGACAATACTGGCAGTTTGTCACTTTGTTCTTGATGAAGTTTAGTGGCATGCCTAAACTGAATATTATAAACAATAATCAGACTAAATGGAAGGAAAAAGTCAACCCAAACGGGTTATAATTTATTACGAGGGTAGTAAACATTGTAACATAATTACATCGTTGCATTGTTAAAAAAAAAAAAAACAAAAATAATTTGCCCAAATAAAGCAAGTAGGTTAATGTTAAAGCCCCGTGTAAAGAATATTGTGCAAAATTATTAAATTTATTTATAAACATTTTTGCTGATGTAATTAAATCTATTTTTACATACTGTATTCGTATTATTTCACAAAAAAGCTCGTTTCATTTTGTTATTATTATTGTTGTTGTTGTTATTGTAAAGTTTCACTAATGGTCATGGGAGTGAATTTACACTTATAGATAGATATCTTTATAAATAAAAGACAAAATAACAACCTTCCTCAGATTAAATAAAATCAATAAAAAATGGAAATAGCCGCAGCAAGTTTTGTTTATGGTAGGATAAAGGATTCTTCCAATGTCAAGAGTCAATACACGATGTTGTTGAGTAATGTAGACCAAATGATTAAACTTGTGGAAAAACTTAATGCGCAACAAAAAGCTCCTGCTACTTATGAGAAACTACTAAACCTTAGGCGTAGAATTGATAGGGATTGGTATGAAGTTCAAAATAATCGTTTAAAAACAATGGCTAATTGCAATCAGGTAAGTTTGTCTATATATATCTGAATTTTGTATAATGATTTCTCATTTTCTTCCCTTTCTTCTGTTCTAGCATTCAGAAAGGATAACCCAATATAAAAATGACATCGAAAATGTCCGAAATCAATTAATGTTAGAAGTATCACTTAGTAACGTAATGAATTTATTTTTTTAATTTAATCAATAATTCTCTTTATCAGTAGTGATCTTTACATGAACTATTTCATTCTAACTTTTCAATTTTTTTCAGAATTCGTCTCAAACGCACGAAAGAAGTTTGCAGGTAAATATTATTACGTTTGATTTCTTGGAAAATTAAAAAAAAAATTTTTTTTAATGGAAAATTTGTCATTTTAATATCATCCACAAAACCAAACCATCCACAATATCACCATCCACAATATCAACCTCAACAGTATCAACCTCAACCTCGACAATATCAACCTCAACAATATTCAAACCAACCCCCGCCATATCAACAACATTCCCATCAACAATATTCATCCCAACTCTATGCACCTCAACCATATTCACCTCAACAAAATAACCAATTCCAGCAGCCCATGTACCAACAACAACAAACTATTACCTTCGGAAACCCATACCCCAACAACAACGATCCATTCAACATCCCTTTTTTAAAAAGCGGGGTTACCATCACCACCCCATCATTCCTCAACAATAACCAAGGTTTATTTCAACAACCACAAATTAGATTTCACTAGTTGGTAAACGCAGAGTATAAAATTTTATACTTGCATTATTTTTTTAATACTGCTTGCCCAAAAAATTCACACTATAAAAACTATTATATATTAATGGACTTTTTGAATTCGAACTTTTTATATTAAATTTATAAACTAATGTCAGTTTGTACCTTAGTTTCTCACATATATATATATTAATTTCATAAAAATTTATCGGTTTGTAAATCTTTCCTTCTGGCAAAGAAATAAATAAACTTAATATCGAAGATCTACGTTGGAGCCGACTGCACAACATGATACCTTCCCATTTATTTTATTATTACTGTATTAAGAATATTTAGACCTTTTTTTTATCAATAAAAGAGAACAAAAAATTACATACCTATAATCTTTAAGTATATTAGAACAAGGAAAATATTATATACAATGATTTTTAGCAAATTTCTATATATTTCAGTGGACATGACTAACCAAATTGGAAACAATGCATATAATTGATGAATAAATATTAATGATCAACAAGGAATATCATTATAAAAGCCGAACCTTTTCCTCAATCGTTAAAGACAAAGAAATTTTACTCAAATAAACAGACTAAAAATGACTAGAATTGAGTTATTTCCAATAAAACGATGGATGAATTCAACCCAATATTAAGAGCCAATACAAAATGTTGACAAAACAAATAGCTAAACTTGCATATAAACTTAATCTACATCAAAAAGCTCCTATGGCTTATGAAGAGTTTCAAAGATTGATCAGAAATTCGGAATCATTTTTAAAAGGTAAAGTTTGAGTCTGCTTTAATAATTAAATCAATGAATCGGTGAAATGATTGATATATTTCATAGTGGGAAATTGATCCAAAGATTATATATATTTTTTTTTTTTGCTTTTTATGGGTTCAAAAAAAAATGATGTTCATTTTGCACATGACTATTTACAATAATTACGTAATAGTAAATTAGCCGCTGCTGTTTCGCATAAAATAATAGAATTGGAGGTTAAACCATAATCGCGTTATTTCACTTTTTTATAATATTAACATTATATTTAATTCATATTCGCTACAATGTCTAATATCGTTCTTCCTCTTTGTGTTCCTTCTTCATACAAAGATCAGCAATACCATGTACTTTCAAAAATTATTTTTTCCTCTCTTTATTAAAATTTTCAATTAAATTTTTTTTACTAAATCTGAAAAAAATTATTTTTAAATTAGGGATCTACTGTAGAACTTAGCAAAGATCTAGCCAATAGTACAACCTTGTATGTTGGAAATTTATCATTTTATACAACAGAAGAACAGATCTATGAACTATTTTCAAAAGCAGGAGAAATCAAAAGGATAATTATGGGATTGGATAAATTTCAAAAAACACCTTGTGGTTTTTGTTTTGTTGAGTAAGTTAGGATTTTTTTATTTTTTAAGGGGAAAAAAAAAATTTACTTAATATTAATCATTGAAATTTTTTTTTTTGTGGTTGTTTTTGTTTTGTGAAGGTACTATTCACATAAAGATGCATTAGATTGTATGAAATATATTAATAGTACTAAATTAGATGAAAGAATCATTAGAACAGATTTAGATCCTGGGTATAAAGATGGAAGACAATTTGGAAGAGGCAGATCTGGCGGTCAGGTATAATATATTTACATATAATGCATTATAGGAATTATTTGTTTATTCATGTAAACAATGTAATATATTGTATAAATAATAAATATAGGTTAGAGATGAGTATAGACAAGATTATGATACAGGGCGTGGTGGATGGGGACATTTTCGTGCAAAGCAAGAAGCAGAACGTGCAAAAAGACAAAAAGAAGAATATGAAGCCATTACTTCTATTCCTACAGGTGCTGGTGAATACAAAGGCAAAGGTAATCAATTATAGAGTGAATATTGATATTTGAATTTGAAATTAAATATTATAATATTATTTGTTGATCAAATCCTTTTGCTGTTATTGTTGTTATGATGAATATTTAGGAACTACATCAAGGAAACGTGAAAGAGATAGTGATGATCAAGGGCATGAAAATCAACCTCGTGAAAAGAACCCACGCTTTAGAGAAGACAAATCAGATGATGAGGAGGATAGAATGCAAACTGATGTTTAATATTGTAATGATAATTATTTTTTTTTTTTTTTGGATGATCAATCTTATTGAAAACATTTTATTAATAGTTAATCCATTTTATCAAAATGAAATATTGCAGGTTTACCAATTACAATGAATCAATGAGATGTTCTTTTAAAAAAAGAAAATTATATAGATTATAAATAAAAAGAGCAATAATTTAATTTAATAATTAATAATTAATTTACCACTTTCAAATAAGCAAACTAATTAGCTACTACAAAAAATTCTTCTACGATACTTTAGATGAAATAAAAGAGCATGGGTTTAGATCATGGCTAGGGCGATACTATTCACACAAATAAATTTTTCTACAATCTCTGCAAAGAAACCAAGCTTCTACTAATGTTCGCTGATGTGACTTGCATTCCATAATTAATCTTTCAGATATACATACATACTTTCCCAAAAAAAATTATTTTCACTTTCTTGAGTATTAGCTTAAACAATATTACTTTCCAGCAACCAACCATCTAACATTTTCATTATTAGAAGAAACATTTGAGATTCCAAAAAAAAATTTTATTTCTCAAAAAAAAAAAAACCATGTATGTACAATATTAGTATATACATAATGAGCATTGGTGACTTTTTTAAACTCCGTCATTTAAAATTAACTACTGGTATATAAAACAATGATAATAGATTTTTGAAACAGTTCCTTTGAAAATGAAATAATAAAATAAATCTGGTGATGATTACAGGTGTCAGATTTAATAGAATTTTCCCATCACAAACATATGGTCAAGTGCTCTTAACACACTTCAGCATCATGGAATTTTTTCCACAGTTTGAAGCACTCCACATGTTAGAAGGCTTTTTGAGTTGATGAAACTCCCCTTATCTTCCTCTCAAACCAGGCTTGGCTATTATATTACAGTATTGATTGCTGATGAGATAAAATCAGTGACGGCAACTTAGGAAGTTGCAACCTGGATTGCTGTTTTGTTAGGGCACACTTACTAAATTTCTTAGATGAAATAAATGATATATAGTGTTTGTTTTCAATTACCTTAATTACCATTTGAACTTTCTTTTGCATCATGAAGTCAAGATCCTATTTTGTAGACTTGGCAAAAGCCTGTGTCTCCTGCCTAAAATTTAAAATCAAACCAAAAAAAAACAGACGCGTTTTTTCTAAAGCGCGTATTAATATGCACTTATTGTATCACAGCCACATGAAGATTATGTAAGATTGTGTTTTGATTCGGTAGTTTTGTCAATTTATTATTATTACAATAATATATACATAAATTATTACAATAATAAATAATTAATTAATTAATTGTTTTTATACTAGTTAGATAATTGTTGACGCATCATTGATTGAAATAATTAAAGGAATGTATAATGCAGGTTGTATATAGAAGTGTCATTTTGTAAAGGTATAATTGATGAAAGATTCACAGTAGAGATTCTACAAACGTTTATTATACCAATCGGGATGTAATGTGTAACATTGTATGATTACATCATATACTCCATTAATTACATATCATTCTAAAAATTTATCTGTGAATAATAATTACTTGCAACAAAATAATAATTCTTTAACACAAACTAGTGGCTGTAATTAATTTCACGTAATCTATTAAAAAATATGTGCTTGTAAATTTTGAATGTAAATGTATACTAATACTGTCTATACAAAAAAATTAGTGATACATTAATTCGGGGCTTTAGAATATCCCGAGCATCAATAAGGATAAACTCATTATTATATAACTTTAATTTGAACTAACAAATGTCGTCTACCTCCGATGTTTGAGCAGATCCTCCAAGGAGGTGCATAAAGAAGTGGATATTGTAGAGCAACCGAAAACCAGTCATTCTTTCATTTTCTTCTCTTTTATCATCCTGCATTTTTGTTTGTTTATAGAAGTATTCCGTTTAGTGAAATATTTAATCAATATAAAGAATTTGACAATTACTATGCTTTTGTCAAAAACTTGTTTACAGAGAATGGGTAATTATATACAGCAAAAGAGCTCCCAATTTTCTCGTATCAAGGCAAATGCTCAACGAAGAAAATTCTCATCCATCAAAAAAACCCAAGTTCCCAAAGAATAAAAAAGATCAATTCTTCTTTTTTGTATTTCTAATTCGCATAATAATTTCTTTTTAAATTACTATTGAGGGCGCGTTACAAAGGAAAGGGGCTAGCTAGAGTCGATCGTTTATGGCCCCACGTTTTATTTCCCACAAACCATTCGTTAATTACTCACACAGAATATTTTTAAATACAAAAAAATAAAATTTTTACAACTTCCACGCGCGATATTTGATGATGCTATTATATACTATATTTCTTTTTATTATTCTTTATTCTTTAAATTCATAAAGTATTGGCTAAATAAATTACATCACAAATTTAAAATTGTAAATAAAAAAATAGAGTAATTGTTCCTCCGAATATTAAATCCAAGATATTACTATGCTTATGTATCAGATTTAATAGAACAATCCCTTCATGCGACCCTCACCATTAATCCTCGTGGCAGGGACAAGACAATCTTTGGGTCAAGAAGTTAAAATAATATGGAAAGTTAATCACCATCCATCCACCAAGAGTGATTTTGATCTTGAGAATTTTCAATGTATTAAAAATAAAATTTTTGTAATGAATTAATTTCTTATCTTGCTGCTACATAAAGACTAATCTGCTTGCATATTATATCAATATTTCAAATGCATAATTTCCTTCGATGAAACAAAGGAACCAAAGAATGGCGGGAAGCTCGTTAAATGATAACAAACATCATAAATATTTAAATTGACCATTACTGCATTTATGGCTTTTTCTTCTTAATGCCAGAGATTTGGATGACATGCATTTGAAGCTTTAACAGGTTCTTCAAAAACAAAGGTGATTTTTCATTGCATCATATTTTAAATATTTTAAAGAAAAAAATCAAATGTCAGATTTTCATTATTTGTTAATTTTTTTAATTTCAAAATACAATATAAATAATTTTTTATTTAATTAGTAATATACTATATAAAATTAATAAAAATAATTAAAATAATTAATAATTAAAATATATAAACATTCTTTAAATATTGTTTTTTTTTAAAAAAAAATTTACAGATATACTCAAAAATAATCTTTAATTCTAAACCTTCTTTAACAATTAATAATAATTTGTTAATATTCAAAATTATTTAAAAATGTTTATGATGTTCTAATTTACCAATATCATGTTTTCCATCACAACATTGTCTTACATTTTCTAAATCTTCGTCATCACTATCAACATCATCATTATGATTATGATGGTTATGGTTATGATGATGTGATTCAATAGGCGAAGTTGGTGACGAATATGCTGCTGCTCCTGTTCCTGTACCGTCTCTTCTAAATATTGATTGAAGTTTACTAAAACTAGATTTTTTCTTTATTTCTCTAATATTATTGTCGCCATTCTGGTTCGAATTATTAATATTGAGATTTCTTGCATCTGATTGACCATCCCATGCTTCTATATTCGTCTTTGTGGTTTTATTACCACCAGGTGATGATGGTATTGATGATTGTTGTTGTTGTTGTTGCTGATGTTGTTGTTGTTGATTTGTTAATTGATTTTGTTGTCCAGGTGCAGCAGCACCATTTTGCATCGAATCTTCAGGCCTTTGTAATAAGTAATTTAACGCCTAAAAATTTATGTAAAATAATGGTCACACTTTTATTATACATGCTTATGCTAGCACAAAGAATCGTATTTAATAGTATGAAATTTTTACCTGGAACCAATATTCATGTCTTTCTTTTGATTGAGCTGTGAATTTTAATTCACGTTCTGGAGTTTTAATAATTAAACTCATATGATGTAAACCTGGAGGTGATGGGTTATGATCTACTACTTGTCTAACAGACTCAATATATGCTAATAATAAAATTAGAATTTGAAATAACATTATTAATATTTTAATATACTTGTTTACAATTTCAATTCCAAATAATAATAAAGATGATTACCAAAATAAGACATTCCACTTTTAATTTTGGGATCAATTGGTTCATTGTTTCCAGGATCCTTACTACTCCAATATAATGTTTTTGTATAAGGATGTACCCAGAAGAATCTTTTATGTCTTTTTTCTGATATACCAGCACCAAAATTACGTCTAGTGTACTTCCATAGATATTCACCGATCATAGTTTGAGTTATAGCATGAATGATTGTCGGATCTGTTCCTGGTGTGGGACCAACAATCGGACTAGTTCCATTTGTATCCATATAGGAGGCATCGGATCTACGTTTTTGGTCAGATGAAGTTGATGTAGTGCTAACTGTTGATATAGAGTCAGAACTTGGCGATCGTTGATGTAAAGTATTTGGATCATTTACATTATTGTTGTTATTAGAATTTGAATCGTTTTGCTTGGAATTGTCTGAATCTTGCAATGGATGATTTGGTAATTGAGGAGATCCCGCTTGTTGCCCAAAACTTACAGTTAATGGACGTTTTGGTTGATTATTGTTATTTTGTGATTTGTTTGCTGGGGAACTTAAATCCAATGTAAATCGATTTTTATCATTATTATTACCGATCATACTATTAATACTATTAGTACGACTATTGTTACTAGTATTATCATTTAATTGATTTGATTGACGAATACTCGACACGTCACTCTTTGAATTTTCATAAGCCATAGTATCACGTTCACCAAATGTGAATTTTCCTGTGTTGAAGGTACACATCGAGTCAGTTTTAGATGATGTTGATATGGTTGGAACAGGTTCGATTACTTTATCTGTTTGTACTGAAATATCCCTGAATACTTTCTTTGGTAACGGTGGCAATGCTTCTTCAGGAATGATGATTGAATGTTTTTTATTTAATAATGGCGAAATACTTGATTCACGTTTTGAGAATTTTTTAGATTCTCGTCTGGAATTGGTAGAAGCTCTTTTAGAACCAAACTCAATGTCATCGGGTTCGTTGGCGGAAGCAAACGAATCTACTGATGAAAC